TGAAAATGTATGTAGGGTTAACACACCTCGCTTGTATTCTTTTTTTAACAATTTTGTTTAAATTATAAACAATCTTCGTAATTCTTTTTTGAATCAGAACCACGATGGAAGATTATATATCTGTCCACTAATCTGTTCGCACTTATGTTATTTTTAGTTCGTAGATGCCACACAAAATCATTCTCAAATTTTGACAACTTATAAAATAAACACTCGGTAATTAAAGGCTGAAATCATCAACTAATAGATTGTCAATCTTATTATCGTGTATTTTTTAACCCTAAAACCCTACATGGGGCACCCCAGACATATTTGTTTGCTAAATATCTCAGTTTATTACCCACAGATTCGTGAGTATTTTAGTTTGGTGTTGACTGCTCGCTATTCGTAAGCGCTGCAATGATAGCCACATCGTGTGATCACCTGTACAAGCGCTGCGGGGTACGTGTGCATCCCAGTGTAGGAAAATCTGTCTAAAAATATACCAAAACTTTGGCCCATAAGTTTATTTTATAGGCTAGTGAATGCTGTCAAACTTTATTCTTGGGTCCTCTTCAATTGTTTAAAAGTAAATAACTAGCACAAGTTATGCAAAACAAACTTTATAGTTTCCTCGTACATTTTTGCAAAAATTAGGCTTAACAACTTTTTATAATTTTAGATTCAGATATCAAGAATGTGAATAATGCACAACTAAAATATTCACAACCGCCAACCCTGGCATATTGCAAGCAAAATGAAGAGCCAAGGGGAAATACGCTTCGGGGACGCTTTGTAAATAGTCACCGCAATAGCTTCTTGCAGATTAATTTCAAGTGAGAGTGCATCGCGAGACTGTATTGAAAGCGAGACTTATGTTACGACATCATATCATGTACAGTCTCCAGCAACAAAATTCATAAAATTCTACATCTTCTGGCAATAAGTAACGCTGTTTTTACAGTCATTTACATACTTCATTATCATCAGCCTATTGGCATCCACTGTTGAATGAACGCCCTACACCACGTTTGTCTAATCGCGGTCTCCACTCACATGTCCGCTCCAGCGACCATCAGTCCGCCTGGCGATATGACAATAGAGTTGAAATTTGACATAAATGAAAACAACATCAAAACGCGCCCTAAAGGTTTTTTTCTTAGGATTATTGAAGCCTAAAAAAGTATCCATACACCTATGTACCTATTTTACCTGTAGTGTCACTTTTCTTTAGTAAATCTTTTTTTTTTGTTATGGTATAAAAGGGCAAACGAGCAGACGGGTCACCTGATGCAGTGAAGCAACTACCGCCGCCCATGGACACCTGCAACTCAAAAGTCACAAGTGCGTTGCCGCCCTTGGAATCCCTTTCGCTCGAGTCAGCGGGAGGGGAGGATTCGATTTTCTGTGAGGCCGTGGTATCACTCCTCGAGCTAGCCCATTCGAGCCAAAGCATGGCTCTCCCACCGTAAAGTCTTGTTATAACTACGCCTAAAAAGTTAATAAAAGCTATAAAAGATGTGTTTAGTTCCTATTACTGCCATTAATAGTAATATTGTAAGTACGAGTGTGCTATCCAAGTTTCTAAAAGAAGTTACTTTTCATTAACTGTGATTGGCTTTTCCAGTTAGTAGGCGTTCGATTGAACTTCGGCTTAGGCTTCCCTAAGCTAGCTCAAAGACGAAATCTGAAACAGCTAACGTATTCACTGTCGGAGACTCTGTATTGAATCTATTCAGCTTTGTGAGACTATATCTGACTATATCAGGTATTGTGTATTGTTAGACACTTTGTAGAATTCGTTTATTGCGTAGGTAACACATGAAACGAATTCTACAAAGTATTTTAAGGTGATTACAAATAAGTCTGGCTATTTCCGACTATTAAAAAGTATAAAATACAGTGACTTTCACTGTTTTTTGGTAATCACCTTAATTAATTTTATAGCTTTCGCTAGTAGGCCGCAGCTCCTCCGAGTTTATATAGCTATATATATGTATATATTATCATCTACTGCTCGTGAATATTTGTACCTTTAAATTCTCTTTGTTCGCATCATTGTTTTATTACTAAATTAAAATGTATTGTTAATAAATATCATAAAACTTTACGTTATTGAAATCAAGCCCGAAATAATGACAAAGACTTTAATATTTCCATTTTATTTTTAAAAATTACTTTAATTTTTAAGGATTTATGGTTTTCTAACAATGATACGACGGTGAAATGAACGAAATATCACCCAGTGGTTTCATTTTCATAATAGCGGAGATAGCCTTTTGTAAAAGTGGTATTCTGTAAAACCTTTAAAAAGCGAAGAAAGAAACCGTTGAGCGAGTAGGAATCTTACATAATATCTATCTGTAACAAACATCAGTCTTGGACAGTTTTATTTATAGCTACATATCCTTCAGACCAGACCACCTTCACATTTTTGAAGAATTCGTTGGTTCGAAAATCTAAATTCTACATAAGGGTCGACGCACAGTCAATAATCTACCAAAAGAAAGAAGTTGTGTAAATTACATAACCCATCATAGTCTTATAGCCAATTCTAAGCTAAATGCGATTAAAATTGCTTGTTCTTAACAAACAATGAATAAATTACGAACAGTGTCTTAGAATATCAGAGTTTCTGACGTCCAAACTAAATTACCTTGTTTATTAATGTAAATTTAATGTCTGCATAGTTCTTATTAACTACTGGTAAGTTGGTAGAAGTCCTTGGTACAAGCACCGTTCGAAGTTTGGCAGTGTTTCATTAAATATTTGCCTCTAATAAAATTTAACTTTAGAAATAATACACCATTTACATTTCATAGCATAAAACTTTTTTTTCATCAGTTTAAAATAAAATCGTTTTAAAAAACTTAACTAATAATATCATGTGTCAGTTTGTTTGTAACCCTAACAGATGTTTACTCAGAATAGAACATTGTTATATATATATATATATTGAAGCGAACAAAGAGAATTTAAAGGTACAAATATTCACGAGCAGTAGATGATAATTTAATGCGGGGTGATAGTACCCATTATACAACTTTGTACCAGTCATGATCATCAAATCTAACCTATTCGCGAATTTCTCTTTTCTGCTAATTAGTCTTGTGCTAAGCAATAAATCATTTATATGAATTCAAAGGCAAGTTGTACGTTTGAAGTTAAAGAAAGCTATGAAATCATGAAAACGTGGAAGAGAATATGGGGATTCATTACAACTTGATGAAAGTGAAAAATAGGTGACCCAATGCTCGACAGGAAATCTGTCTATCAATAGATTTAATAAAAAAAAGCAAATCATTTGGATGGTTGGAACAAAAATGGATTCATAATATATTTTTTTAATATTCGAACTTGCTTCAAAACATTCCTGGTATAATACACAAATATCGAAGCTTGATTGTTTAAAAAATTGCATTAACTTGTTTTTAAATTAAATATTCATTCTTCACTCTTTTACAGTATTTATTTAAAAACAACAACTATTTTGAAAGAGAATGATATTAATATGTCGTTAAAAAGCAAAGCGCTACAAACTGCTATACCGTTTATAAAACATTGACAATAATAATACCATTAGAGGCCAACCAGTTACACGAGACACTTGAGACAGAACAATAACATCGTTAACACAATTTAAAAAATAACATAAATTTCATTCCAAACATTTGACTAAAAGTGAATAAACAAAGTTATATGTACTCAAAAATCAATATTTACATTGCCGTACAAAGTAAATCGGGGTAAATGCACTGTCGGGATTAATGTATGAAGCTCTTAACAAATCCGTTCAGAGCGAACCAGAAAGATATAGATTTACTCTTTTTGGTCGGGGTCTACCGAGCCTGGTTACGTAATTCGGTACATGTAATTGTGTTTCGATATAATGATGATTGAACTCTCTTGCTGACGCCACTGCTAATTTCTAACACAGATGAACATAAAAGGAAGATAACTTACTAAAAAAAAAGAAAATTAATTGATATTTATTTTATAGTCAGGTGAAGGACGTCATGCTGTATTATAATGAGCTCTGTTTAGGATGTGCGGCATAAATGAGCGCCGTACGTTGCGCAACAACACTGGTGATAAAGTTTGCTATAATTGGTTACCGCGGTCGCAAGCCGCAATATCCTAATATTCGGCATCATTTTCAAAAAATGCAGTAATGTTGCTTACAGTTTGCTATCTATTTTAGTTTTTATAATTGACATTTTAATAAAAACTCCATACATGCATTGACGCAAACACAATATTGCTTGTTGTTATATTGTTTCTTTCACAGCTTCACATGTAGTGTTAGTTTAACATTTTCGGGATTAGGCATGGTTTCAATTCGGGGAGGGCCTGAAATAACATGGTCCCGGTCCTCCCAGAATAGGGCATCTGAGGCCGGCCCTCGTAGTCGTTTTTTGTAGAATCACCATAAATAGTCCTGGCTCCTGAGTCCCCGAGGAGCAGGAGATTTACCCCCGCCATCAACAACAACAACAAAAAAGTAGCCTTTAAAAATCACAAGTCACGTGTCTTTCAATTCTTGTGTTGTTTCGTGTACTTTGGTTAATTTTATTATTGTATTTCGGTAGTGTTTGAGTGTGGTTGAAACCTTATGATAGCAACCTATTACGCTACTATGCCTCTTATTTAAATTATTTTGGCGCAAGTTTATGAAATTTAAAGTATATCATTATAAGATCAAAGGACAAAGTTAACCTTTATATTAAAGATAAACAGAATTAGCAAAATGAAATGTTCGCATTACAAATCTTGTATTTTGTGATGTATAGCAGTTTCATTTTTTTTTAACAAAACTTTAGTAAAAATAATAAATTTTATTTTGATAAAATAAACGGTTACATAGCATTACAACCTAGTTATTTTCTATCTTAAATGCGGTGGATGAATTTGAAAATGACAATTTCTATTGTCGTTTTTGCAGACACATACAGTAATAAAACTTAAGTATACTTCACTTATATTAACAGAAACAGCTTATTTAGTGTAAATAATGTCACTATCTAGTTCTTATATATTGTAACCTCCTCCTCCTCTTTCTTGACAGCTTGAATAAGGACCAGGGACATGACGGCGTTAATGACCTGTAAAATTAAATAATTTGGCACATTACAATCATAAATTATATTGTGATATAAAGAAGGAGAGGTCAAAACATTGAAGTATGACTGGCCTGTTGGTCTAGTTGTTAGTGACCCTGCCTGCTACACCAGACGTCGTGGGTTCGATTCCCACCCAGGACAAATAATTGTGATCATTTGATCTGTGTCTGGGTGTACTTTATCTATAATATGTGTATATTTAGAAATATGTATGTATGTTTATCAGCAGTCTAGTTACCAAAGTACAGGCTCTGCCTAGTTTGATTTGATTTATGTTTGATTTGGTCTGGGTGTTTCTATGTATAATAAGCATGTATTTACAAAAAAAAGTAAATATATATTTATATCAGTTGTCTAGTACCCATAGTACAAGCTTTGCTTAGTTTGGGACTAGATGGCGTGAATGTGGATGAATGTGAATGTGGTAGAATATCATATTATTATTATTATTTGGTATCAGACAGCCGTGTGTCAAATGTGTAAAAAAATATTTAAACAGAAGCTAATGCATACATGTCCTTTATGAGCTAATAATTATTATAGTAAAGCCAAGACTTAACAGACACCCGTCCTTATTACACACTTATATGTATATACATATACTTTTCATTAAGTGTTTCCAATCTTATAATATGCATGTTTTAAGACAGTTTTCGTTAAGTGTATAATGGCAGAATATTTTTCTGAAAATTCAACATACAATTTTATATCAGCGTAATTTCATTCCGTGCAGTTAAGATGCTCCAAACTCATTAAGTTATAACGAGCAGCGTCGGGAGCATCGTTTAACGTTTACGAGAACATATTTAAAATATAGTTTTATGATTTAAAAAAAAGATGCTCCAAATATTACTTAGTAACTAAGTAATATTTGGGCTACATTACTTTATTATCAAGCATTTGTATATGATCGTTATGAATTGAATTGAAATTGGGTTCCATTCAAATGAGAAAAAAAGTTTATGACCTTAATTTAAATAACAGAATATTCAAATAACCTTAAAAATACACTAACTTACAACTTAACTACATACTAAATAAAAGATAATTGATTTTCGATGTTGCAATTGATGATAACGTTCGTTGAGTTATTGGATGCTAAAAAATAATTATAAATTTTATTACCATAATTATTGAACTCGGTTGAACTTAGTGGAGATTGAAATTCTCAAACGAAAAAGATATAAACCTAGCATTTATGACGGTGACAACTTGCATAGCTATTAAAAAGGTTGATGTATTTAAATAAAAATAAGAACGGTAAACTTACAGCAATCATACAGGCTGCCAGCATGATACCAGCTAGCCATCCAGTTTTACCCTCCAAGAACCACGTGAGCTCATCTACACAGCCATGGAAGTATGCGTTACCAGTAACCGAGTCACGACATTCAGCAGGTAGAGGTTTGTTAAGATTGATGTAGTCCCACGGGCCATCGGCACCACAGCAACCGATCTATAGAATATTAAACAAGTAAATACATATATGTAAAGTAACGTGGTGGAAGAATTTGCAAAATGAACTGGAAAAAGAATAGCAAAATCTCAAGGTGAAAACGACTTTAAGGGGAGGTACTGCCAATATAATATATGTACTATACTTTCAAAGCAGGAAATGCTTATAAACATCTGTCTGCACGATTAAATCTTTTGTATTCTATGATTTTTTAACACATATCCATTACTTTAAGTACATATCTATATAAGTAAGTTTATTTACGGTTTAAAATTGTCTCTCTTTCATTATATCGATCAAAAAATATTCGAAAACATTTGCCCTATATTCCATAAAAATAATAATTGGTGTTTGCTGTCTTTGTTAGAAGTAGAAAGTAAATAGCTATGTTATAATATTCGTATCACAGCTAGTTTGAATTACTCATCTATGGCATTATTTAAATCTAACTTGATGAAAATAAATACTTTTTATGATAATATTTAAAACTAGTGTGATATTCTTTAAAATATCTTAATATTTTAAAGAATTGGAACGTTTGAATTGAATCGTTATTATTTATTAAGGGGTATAAAATAGGACATGGGTCCAATTCTACATAGTTCGTGAATTAACTATTTTTATTTAGTTTCATGAACTATTAAATCTGAAATCACACCAGTCACTTACAACAAGCATTATACCCGCTTGGCAATGCTACAAAATTAATATTCTTTAAAATATCTTAATATTTTAAAGAATTGGAACGTTTGAATTGAATCGTTATTATTTATTAAGGGGTATAAAATAGGACATGGGTCCAATTCTACATAGTTCGTGAATTAACTATTTTTATTTAGTTTCATGAACTATTAAATCTGAAATCACACCAGTCACTTACAACAAGCATTATACCCGCTTGGCAATGCTACAAAATTAATATTCTTTAAAATATCTTAATATTTTAAAGAATTGGAACGTTTGAATTGAATCGTTATTATTTATTAAGGGGTATAAAATAGGACATGGGTCCAATTCTACATAGTTCGTGAATTAACTATTTTTATTTAGTTTCATGAACTATTAAATCTGAAATCACACCAGTCACTTACAACAAGCATTATACCCGCTTGGCAATGCTACAAAATTAATATTCTTTAAAATATCTTAATATTTTAAAGAATTGGAACGTTTGAATTGAATCGTTATTATTTATTAAGGGGTATAAAATAGGACATGGGTCCAATTCTACATAGTTCGTGAATTAACTATTTTTATTTAGTTTCATGAACTATTAAATCTGAAATCACACCAGTCACTTACAACAAGCATTATACCCACTTGGCAATGCTACAAAATTAAGCCAAGTTTAGTGAGCACAGTTTACGACTTGAGCAGTGTTCAATGAGGCCCGTAACGTGGCACACAGACCTATTTGATTAGTTCTAGTATCGAGGCTGTCAATTCAGACCGGAGCCCTACTACCGAAAACAATTGTCGTTTCATTGACTACACGGGTATATACCTAAGAGCATTGGGAATGTATTAAATCGGAGAGCCTAGCCTGTTTTGGTAGGTTTATATTTTATTACTGTTATTAAACGTGTCTTGCTGAATACTTTTTGTCTCTTTACAAATTAATTAGAACACAAAAAACTAAAATTAAGCAATCGTAGTTGCCTTCTACTTTTTAATATTTTTAAATGTATGCAACAGTTTTTTTCCTTTGTTGGGTAAAGAAATATGGTTTAAATTATTTCCTTGGCATTCTCTTAAATTTTATTATGATCCTTATATCAAATTGACAGTTCCTTATTACTTATTACGATCATATTTATAACTCTATCCTATTTATATTATTACTTTAGCAAACTACAATAAAAGTGATTGTGTAAATTCAAAGTATCGTAGTAGATACCGAAAAGCATGTCCTTTCTGTGTACAGCTATAAATTTGTTTTGGTGTTTGCTTCGTTAGATGTTGCGGTTTTGTTACGCTTTTTCTATGATGACGACAGAAATCACAGTCTTCATTTATGTTTTGGGAAAACGTTCGGTCAAATGAAAATTTTCTTTACAGTTGCAATCTACCTAACGGCCAAATTTATCCATATACATCCTATGAAAGCAACAAGAAATTAAAAAAGAAACAAGGCACGTAACGAACTAATTAATTTCTCTGTCGGTTCTGATATAAAATAAAAGAACGGTAGCTGTCAATAACAAATCTAGCAAATATATTTACTGCTTACAAACATATTGAAAAGGTAAATAATTCATTTAACATTTAGTTTTCTTATATTTGCTATCATAAAACCAATACTTACTCCTTCTTGCACCATTCGTAGAATTTCGCGACTGCCTTCGTGCTGTGGATTGTTCATCAGTCTGACTATTACATCTCTTATAATTGGCTGAATGCTAGAGTCATAAGTAGAGAAGTCCAAGACCACACAAGCTCCAATAAGGCCGAAAACAAAGATGGCTAATTGGGTCCCTATGTACTGTAAAAAAACATACACGAATTAGATCATACTTTATACTGGCGTGAATATTAAAGTTGTTTTATTTTCCTTATCGCCTTATACATTGCAAAAGATAACAAATAAAGGAGTGAACAATTAATACAAATCGATAAGAGTTGTAGTGTTTTATACTCATATATTGAACAATAATAATATATAGAGTACATGGAACTAATCCCTTCCACACACCCACCGCTGTAACTCCTGTACACTAGAATCAACATCAGTGACCCACGAACACACCGAGTTATGACACTCGGGAAGTCCCAAAAAAAAATCAACTGTCTTGGAACCCGCAACGAAATTAATCAGAAGAAAATTGAAGGAGTTGGAAATATTATAAATCCACTTCCCTTCTTAGCAAAGCGTGAGACAAAATGAAGTAAAATACTAAATATAAATGGAGAAGTACGACTGCCTCAAAATATTATGGGTGAGCTATGTTTGATTTATATAATATTTATGGCAGAATCGCCTAAACGCACGGAAATTCACCCTTTTTTTTCCGTGCGGAAATCCCCTCAGATACCACCTATCGTTCGTATCGTACCGTTTATTATTATCGGTGGTATGTCGGACTCGAACCGACTAAAACCGCACGCCGTCTCGGGTACTAATAGCCGGGGAACCAGGTATACCCTAGAAAGGAAGTCCCTGGTGATGGAAATTCACCCTAGTTTACACATGCCAGATATCACCTGAAAGCTATTGAGCATTATATTACGTTTATTATACCAAAGACTACATTCCCAGAGGATTTTATGAGCAGACTGTTACAGGACAGTTAGAATCAGGTGTTGAGCATTGACACAATTGTGACTCGACTAATTTAAGTAATAATATTTATTTAGATAAAGAGTACAATAATTTATAATAAATGGTTCTCTAATTTAGAAATAAAATACAGTTGTTGTTTGTTTTCCCAAACTAGGTTGAATCTGTGTCTCGGACGAAGAAGTTCTTTCAAACTATTTTATTAATATAAATCTACATAACTAAAAATTAATTATAACATTCTAATAGCCTACATAAGTAACTAGTAACAGCAATTATAAGTTAGTAAAAAATAATGCACTAAGACCGTTCATCAAATTTTTATTTACATATTTTAAATAAGTGCTCAGTTTGCTTATACGTCAATTTTTTACATAATTATGTAATGTGATTTTACAGCTGACATAATTTAATTTATAAATACTCTTTTTAATCTATTATGTAGAAATGGACCTCGAAAAGAAAATAATCTATTTGAATAAATGAACTTTGAGCCTGATTTCAGAAAATTTTACAGTTGATTGGAAAGTTTTAGAAAATTTTACAGTTGATTTGACAGTTTTTTTTTCTGGTACTTCCCGAGTATCATAACTCGGTGTGTTTGTGGGTCACTGGTGTTGATCCTGGTGTACAGGAGTTACAGTAGTGCATGTAGGAGGGATTAGTCTCATGTGTACAAATATTTGCACTGACCGGTATTGATACGCCGCAAACGATATTTATCAAACATATACTTCTCGTAATTATAATAACATATGTTACTTTAAGCAAAGTGTAAGTACAAGTCGATTTTTGTTTTTATCCGAATTAGTTTTAATAAAAATTAATTAATTGGTAGAATCATACTGATATTAAGAAGTCTATAATTTACAATTAAAGGTCTTGTTATGTTACATAATAGCTAATATAATAAATAATGAGAAAGCTATTACTTCGTTATAAACATCATTATTAAGAAGAATGTAAAGTTAGTGAAAAAATATTTAATATCAAACTGTAATTGAGAATTACTAACTCCAATGTATAAAAAAATACATTCTGCTGTAATCGTACTTAAATTTAATATCTTACAGTTATTGATTGAATATTTCTTTTGTAAATCTAAATAAAAAATATAAAATAGATATCTTACCGCAAACAATAGCATAACATTTTCCATCAGGGCTGAACCACATCCAAGGAAAGCTACCACCATGGTGACGAGGGACGCTATGAGGATTATATAGATACCTATGAAATAGTTCTGGAGTTGCAAGATCCTCATCCATTCGTTGAATCCTGGCTCAATGCATATCCATAGACATAGAGCGAATATAGAAACACCGAATAACTGAAAATAAAGAAAGAGGTTTATTAGTTCTCTAAATAAACTATCGTATATATAAAGTGTCGAATGACTGCCCTCGAGAGATGAATAATAACTGTATAGAGAAGGTAGCATGCAGCCGGGACTTCAATCCGATCGAGCATGCTTGGAGCAAACTTAGACAAGGCGTGAGGAAAATAAACAGTTCTTGATCACCCTTCGATAGCCTAAAATTGCAAATGGCAGACTATTCCCCATCTTATAATGGGAAAATAATCAATAATTAGAAACGAATGGATTGGTATAAAGTAAAGTACCTGGATGACGGAGCTTTGCTTGTTTTATAATTTACAGTAAATTTTCTAAAAATGAAACCTATCTAGATCGATTAATCACCCCCGTAACTCCCTGCATTCTAAATTTCATAAAAATCGTTAGAGCCGTATCCGAGATTCAGATTATATACATACAAATATACAAGAATTTCTCGTTATTAAATATAGATAACATACATCAGAACAAAAGTAAACAGATACCGTGTTGTAAAGTTAGTAAACATATGAAGAACGCAGATAAAACATATTATTATATATTTATTATATTTCATATGATATTTATATTTCACAAAGTTCAAGTAAGATACAAAGTTACATTCACTTTCATGAACATATATGTGGCTGCCACTCAATTTCTTTAGAACTTTTTACTGTTCTTTGTACGTAATTGTGACTGCCATTGCTTTAACAGGATTTTTTATTGGGAAAGTTACGCCGTACACGATATTGATACTGCATTACCTTCTTAAAGTTATTTTCATAAAAATATATAACTTTGGAACAGGCAAAATATTGGTACGTTTGTGCCTATCTCAGGTATGTATTTCCTTAAAAAATAATTTTATGTTGGTTTTATACTTACTATTAGAATTAGATATTTTTGAAAACAACCACAGTCAGTTAACATTTTCACAGAAGATCTTCAAGCAGTAGGTATACTTGTAAAAGCTCTTTGGAAAAAAGGTATTATAGTTGTCTCTCCCTATCTTGTATTTAAGTGACCTTATTACCTCATATCTCACGATAAAACAAAATAGAGACATGTTTCTTATGGGATAAACGTAAACAGTGCGGTAAAACAGGCAATAGATAAGTTTAGTTCTAAAACTTTTATTATCTCATTAATGCCGCGGGTGAATCGTCGACTTTTATACCGTCGCCAACTTCTACACATCACAGGATTCTTATAATAGCCTTGTTTTTGTCTTCTAAATGGCTGTAGGCTATTGTCTTGGTAATATTTGCTCTGTATCTCCGGTCGTATACATATATATTAATTACACAACATGGGAATGTTATTTACAGAATGTAGAATAACGAAGCTATTAGAACGGTAATTAGCATGAGTCCACGATCGTTATTCTGTAGCTAAAGTTAAATATATTCTTATTTCAAAGTTGTTATTATACGATCTTGAATCCATACAAACTTTATAATAAAACAGTGTACAAAAAACAATTCTTTGTTGCCAAAGTTTGTCTGAAATGAAAAACATTCCAGTGCTTTCTATGTACATTTATTCACAATACAAAGTAAATTGTATGAAATAATATCCAAGTAAAAGAACAAGACAACAAACAGTTTCTCTGAAGTCTCCATGTTGACATTTACGAAATAAAAACTTAAAACAGTCCACGTTCCTGCACAACTTCATATATACGCATGTGTATACCATATGTATACGAGATAAAAAGGAAACAAAATAAGTTTAATAACCTGACAACATTCTACTATTATTGTTTTGTTTTTCCAACGTGATGTTCTCTTCGATTTGTCTCTAAACAAAACAACACATACCGTCCCTCGATTATGGTATGCCTTATATTTCACGTGTAGGCATTTTACCTAGTAAAAATATAAAAATAAGATTAACTACGGAAAACTTTAATTCATTCTTGATTCAATAGTATGATAATCTCAAATGAATACTTGGTTTTAAAAGTAAAGGATGTGTAATACTCAGCTTTGTTTTCATTTCAGTAGGAATGGGAGTGGATAGAAATGTTAGTCTGCAAAAACAGTCTGCAACCTCCATAAAGGACTTGGTTGTCACATTTGACTGTAATCTATCGGTTCACGACCACATAATTACACTAGAAAAGGAATCTTTCGGACGCTTGGATTTCATCCTAAGAAATTCTCGAGAGTTTAGTAACCATCATGTTATAAGAGTAATTTATGGGGCATTGGTTCGCTGCAAGCTCGAAAATGCTATGTGTGTGTGAAATCCACACGATTGCACATACGCACTTCTGCTTGAAAAAGTATAAAAAACTTGCCTTAGATATCTCTACAAGTGTGTCTATAGATACTATCCATTTATGTATCCCACAAATTTTCTTCTCGGTTGTGTATGCTATAGTTCATTGGAAGTCAGACGGGTGATGCACCAATTTGCAATTATGTGTAAGACTTTTAGAGAGAAAGTTGATGGACTGATGGATGGTTGGTCAGCGCCAACTAGCGCTGTAAGGATCAGAACTACTCGTATTAATCACAATCTTAATATATGTACTTGAGTCGATCCTAGATGGCGCTGTCCTCCACATTCCATACAATCGAACCATTTAATCCTATGGCGCAACACATATACGTGCTACAATAAATGAAAACCCGTCGAAAGATAGGAAAACCCAAAAAAAATACTTTTAAATTCTATTCCTTGAGGTACTCAAGACCCAGTTTCTGGACGTGGGATTGGGATCTGAAGCCAAAGTTTGTCACAATGGCTAGAGCCATCACGCCATAACACGCTATAGGCACGTTAGAGGTAAATATATATTATGACAAGTGGTGAGTTTACCAGCTCCTACTGAGTTCCTACAATCGATTTCCTACGCCGAGTATTAATACTAATGTTTTTAGGTCAGCATTATTCTCCTACTGCAAATTCAACTCCGTTATAATTGTACAATTTATTATTTCAGTTTATAAGTTCAAATTAAATTATATTATTTTATATTTGAGTACATTGAATTTAAAACAATGTCAAGGTTATTTTGTTCTATGTGAACGAACGACTACAAATGTGTATTGGGACTGCCGTCACCCCGTACAAGAAATAAATTACCACGCATCTATTTCGTGGCGAACTTCCTTCTACAAACTTTAACAATATTTAACGTTCACGTCAGTTCTTTGTTATTTTGTATGTGTTCGCTCCCGGGATATAGCGAAGTTGGTTAGACATATAAATAGCAAGCGGTAGCTTATAGTAAACATTATAATCTACATATTAAAAAAGAAGAGATTTCAATGTACACTTTTTAAGCAAATGTCATACAGGGTTCAACAATTTATTTATTTATAACTTTATGCACATTTGTACATCGGCGGACTTAATACCTAAGGCATTCTCTCCCAGTCAACCTTTAGGTAGTGTAGGAATCGTGAGTGGTAGGCGCAAATAGGTTATAACACTAATCACTAAGATATACACTACACAACACAACACTTAATTTTATACACAAGCAAATACACTATACACATATATTTACACATACATACACACACATATACATATATATATATATATATATATAGATTTACATACATATATATATGTATATAAATACACACATACGCAATCATCATCATCAACAGCCTTTATAACCCACTGTTGGACTATGTCCTCTGTGCCTCTCCTTAGAAAGGAGGTTTTGTCCTACAATACTGTACACACGGTTAGATTAATAATAATAATATTTCGGACATCTAACACACAACGCCATCTATTTTCAAACTAAGCAGAGCTTGTACTATGAAAGCTAGATTGACTGATAGGAAATTTAATATACTTTTTTTGTAAATAAATACATATAATACATAGAAAACACCCAAACTCCGAAACAAATATTTACAGACCATACAAACATTTGGTCCGACCCGGGATCGAACACCGAGGCAGTCAGATTTGTTTTAAATTGCGAACTATAAATAGTTTGATGAATATGCATGATGAGTTTAAAATTTATGCGGAACCGGCTGCAAGTAGCTACGAGTGTCGCTTTTAGTCGGTTCGAGTCCGACATAGCCACCACAGCAGTTGATACCACATCCAAGGGGATTTCCGATCAAAAAAAAAGGATCCAGTATAAATATTGACACGCAACCTAAACACTGAAACAGTATTCATCATCAACAGCCTTCTATGACGTTATTTAAAAAATGAATCTTTCTTAACAGAAAAGTGTTTGACTCTAATACTGGTTTCAGTATATTTTAAAACATTTTTTTTTCACATTCAATATTAACAATATTTGCAGAATAATAGAGTCAACTAAAGGAGGCCGCTCATGATCGAGAGGTGTACCGTCTGCTGACCTCCAAACTTATTGTTCACAAACAGAACTGTCGTACATAATCGTATACAATACAGTAATATATACGCATGTTTTACTATCGAATATAGCTGTGATCCTAAAATAAAAGAGCACAGGTGCCAAATCTATGTACGTTGTACATGTACCAACACTCCTAAATCACCAGACTTAAAAAGCCCACTGCATAGTCAAAAAATGTGTATCTTTAAGCACGTCTTTTCTTCCAAGATAATTTTGTGTTATTAGTTTCTTTCTTCTTCTTTTACTTAAAAAGTAAAAGAAAGATTAAAAGCACGCACGGTTTATTCTTGGTATAAAAACCACACACTTAAATATTTTATTTTATTGCAACACCGACTGATGTTTTATCCATAATTTTCATCTTTATTATCTATCGCATTTTATATCAAACTTAATGGTAACCTTTATAACAATTTTTAAATTAATATTTAAAACTAATGCATAATCCTGAAATAACAAGTGCTATTTTACGATGTTTAAACTACACATGACCTGAACCTGTAAACCTTGTATATATATATATATATATTGGATTCATTTTTCATAAGTATGAAGAAAACTATTATGCTTTCTAACCGATTTGAAGATGTAGAACAGAGAAATAGAGCAAAACCACCCGTCATTA